GTGAGTTCGAACTTTATATATTTTTCTCTGAGTCGACAAAGGCTTCCTCCAACTGGCCTCTTAAGGCTAAACTCAAATCAATGGGGGTTTTTCTCTGACCACAATTTGTGTCGCGATTAAACTAATTTGCCATTATTGAGATATTTACTTGTTGCACATCCATCTCTTCTGCTCAATCAATTTGGCTACCAGTAGACCTTTGGTGTAGGTTGGTGTCAGCATTTAGTTTGCCAGAACAGGCCACGTAAGGATTTCTTCGGTCGAGTCGCCGCCCTTTTTTGATGAGACCGACACATTACTCTCTTCATTAAGTACGTTCACACAAGACAAGAGTCATTCCTTCTGAGAATGACTGGGTCAGGTACTCTGATCGACACTTGGCCTCTTTAAATAACAGCTTAATTAGACCTGACCTGGACTCATTGGTCAGAATGTACGATCGTCTGATTTTGTGTGAAGTGTGCATGTGTGCCGATGGCCATGTCTATCAAGCATCGGGATTTTACGGATTTGCCATTAAACGCGTTACACGCGTTTTATAGGATTGCCTAAACCGTATCACGAGATGTTTGCATGTATGTATGTGTGTTTGTATGTATGTATGTATGTATGTATATGAAAATGTAAAGGTTGCCAGCTGCCTATGTAGTCTCGAGGCTTTCAGATCCTGTTTGTGGCCGATGTTTTGCTGGAGAAGCGTGGTGAAAGCTTGACTTTTGCACAGAAGCTCGCCGCCCAACGCCTACCAAAATTGCGCTCTCCACCTGGCTGGACCCCAGTCTCAATCCCATATCGGTCTTTTCAACATACCCAACGGGATTAGAACCCCGGAGGAGTGTTTTTAAAGTGGAATCCGTTAGCCGCAAGCCACCCAAGTCCTGGTTCAACCAGTTTACTGAAATGGACAAGCTGTCATGGGGAAGCCGGCCTTGCTTTAGTGATTAACTTTGTATCTATAGGCGACTGTGTGTATGTGATTAAACTCGACATTGTATACTTCTTTTTTAGATAAGGAATATCCTCCTAGAGGACAACTGGCTTTTGGAAAGATGCATTCGATGCTAGTGAACATTGACAGGAATAGGCTGCAACGAGTAAACCTTGAGTCGAGATTCGAGGAGAGTCGAGGAGCTCCAGTAAACCGGAGACATGCCACGACTCGACAAGTCAGTCGCGATTCCCACTCCTTACGACGTCAACGCCGCTATCTACAGCCTCTTTTATTTCTAGTTTTTTTACACAATCTATGGACATTCTTTCTATCCTGCCTGACAACGGCGGTTTGAGGTGCACATTTCAAATGCATTCGCCCTCTCGCACTCGTCTTTCTGGTCGTCCTCAAGTGTGAGTTGTCTGTGGCCTGGATCAACACACTTTGCTCTGTCACTGAGGCTACCCACCAACCGGTCAGTGTGGATCATCCGCGTTTATTTTGTGATCCGTAGAGGGAGGGGAGAGGAGAAGAGAACAGTTGTACAGATCACGCAGACCCAAAGACAGGGCCTGGAGTGGACGCAGCGAGACGGGCAGCATGAAAGGCGACTAACGACTGGCGACTGGCGACTGGTGACTGGCGACTTGCGTGTACTTCCGGACACAACATCCGTGTCGATTTGTTCGCATGCCCCGGCAACCACAGGTTAAACTTGTCATGCCCTCTCATCACAGCAGACTTGGCGCCCGGGTCACTAAGCTGTGGCAGCCTAGACGCCAGAGGCAGCGGAGTCCGGTCCGGGGCGGTGTTCTCGCGGCCGGTTACGCAATCGACACTCAACTCGGCCTGCGAAAGCTCAACTGTGTGCGTGACTTGGTGGCACAATAGAGTGTACGTGTTTCCCTGCCTGTGCTTCAATTGATCCAGACGTCGGGGTCTCCGTGACCTCTCAGACAATTCTGCCTTTGAGCCGGTCGACGAAAGGGTAGCTCACTCTAAAATCAATCATGCACTTCGCCGTTGCTCTGTCCACTCGTGTCCATTCATGTTCATGCTGTACCCTTCACCCCTCCAGCCACATGTACATAGTCTCTGTACTCGTCGACGAACCGGCCTCCTGCAAAACCCGTCTGGCGCACAATCATGTCGGCCTGCTTTCGACAGCCTAGGCTGACGAGTGGCCGACTCTCATCTCCACGATTGACCGAAGCCTCGCCTTTCATGACTCATTGGAATGCCGGCCAGCTGGTCTACCCATTCCCCCGTTTCATTCGGTCGAGAGAAGCTCTATCCTGTACACGCGACCTTTGTCCGCTTTCCAAGTCGGCTTTGGCGAGTCGAGGCGTCCGAGACAGGAAGAGCGAGGCAGACAGAAAGAGAGAGTGGACGAGAGAGAAGGAGTTGAAGAGAAATAGAGAGGAAGAAGGAAGGAGAGAGAAAGGGAGAGAGTGTAAGGGGGGGAGAGAGAGAGATAGAGTGTACGAGAAAGAAAGAATACGAGATAAAAGAGAGAGAACTGGATAGAGTGTAAGTGTGGGCGAGTAAGAGTAAAAGTTATCCGGAAAGACATGTATGTCTGTGCGTGTTGACAAGTTGATGTGCAATTCAACTGGCTAAAGACAGGCTTTCAGCTGCATGCCAGAGCGGGTCTTAGAGACTAGACTCGGTACCTCTAACCTCGAGTGACGCAAATCGTCTGTCTGTTTGCCTCCGCCCCCTCCCCCTCACTTCGGCTAGCAGCCAGCCTTATCGGCGAAACATGTCGTGCTTCCGTGACTGGCCCCAGCCCCACCTTGCACCCCTCACCCCACCACCACGCCCATCTGCCTGTCGTCTGGTCAAGCCGCCTGGGCCGGCTTGTCCGATTAAAGCACGCCTACAAAGCAGCATGAGGAGCCTCCGACCGAGACGCACGTGAGGGGGGCCAACGAACTGGGCGGCCTGTGGTGGGGAGGCAGTACAGCCTCGGCCAAACTTGCCAGACTTGTCCAAGCACGCTGAGATGACGGCGGCGGTGGCGGTGGCGGCGGCGACGGTGCTATCGGGCCACGGCAACAGGCCAATAACTCTGTTCTGTACACATCTCGGACGAGCCGAACACAGTTGCTACGACGACCGGAAGGAGATGCAGTGGCCGACTCTTAAGACATGAGCCTTCTTGTGGAGGCGGCGGGACCTGTGCAGCGTCTTCTACGCGGCTGACGGCATTCTCACCAGAAGAAGTTGGTAGATTGAGGGTTGTCTTGATGTAAAACAATTGTCCACAAGATTTGAAGGAAAGATGCTCTTCGGAGGGTGCCTTGGTTCACGTTTGGTGGCCTTCTTTTGATGTCGAAGTGACATTTGGTTGGAAGGAATTGGTGAATGTGTCTCACGTCGAAGGAGGGGGGATTGGACGAAGAGGTCTTTGGCCAACAACCCCAACAGCCGGACAACTACAGTTCAGTGTACGCATGACTGGAATGAGGGCAATTTGTCGACAGGCTTGGTGCCCGAGTTTGTCGTCAGGTTTCAGTTTACGAAGAGGTTTGACGAACTACTGACT